GGTAAATTCACCAGCCATTTATTATTATTATTATTATGTAGTGTTATGTGTTATACATAATTTTATGTGCTATGCTTTTATATGACTAGCAGTGCAGTAGATTTGTTTATACCAGCATTACCACAAACATGTAAGTAATGCATTGTACCATAATGCTATGACAGCTATGATGTCACTAGGTGATAGTTTTTCAGCTCCATTATAATCATACTAGAGGCCAGGTGCATGAGGAGGGTCCCTAGGCCTGGCCAGCGATCAGGGCTGATCTGTAGGGCGACTGGCGGGGCGATCGGGGGGCCCCCGCTGGCACCTGCCTTGGCTGGCCTGGCGCTTGCGGGCTGGGGGCAGCTCCTGCGTTGAGCATCTGCTCCCTGGTGGTCAGTGCGTGTCATAGCGACCAGTCGTTCCACTGGTCGTTCCACCGTTCGGTCGATTTGCATATTAGGCTTTTATTATATAGGATGGGACCACTGTCATAGACAGTGTGTTGTTGACCAAAACTTTGTTATGCTGTGCATTACTGTAATCAGACATGACAAAGTCAACATTGAGCACAGGAAATTCTGATAACACAAAGAATCTTCGCCTTCTAGGGAGATTACTTAGAAAACCTTTTATAAACTTTATTAAGAGCAGACCAATAACCCAAGAAAATTTTGCCATTTTAATAGAAAACCAAATTTTAGCTTTGCATCAATTTAATATTTGATACTCAAGTGTTTTTTGAAAACCTTACAAATAAGCTCATGAAATCTTAGCTGGCTGTTACCACAACAAACAAAATTCCTTTTTCATGAACTCTTTATAAGTTTCTATATCCATTCAGGTTTTGTTCTACATTTTTCTCTTTCTCATTCTGAAGGAATTAGTCATTTTTACTTTAGGGCTGTTTTCTTCTTCCTTATTTCTTTTATTTTAAAATTTTAAAATATTTTTTTTATTGATTTCAGAGAGGGGAAGGGCGAGGGAGAGAGAGAGAGAAACATCAATGATGAGAGAGAATCATTGATCAGCTGCCTCCTGCATGCCCCCTACTGGGGATTGAGCCCACAACCCAGGCATATGCCCTGACCAGAATTGAATCATGACACTAAACCACTGAGCAACACCGGCCGGACTCTTTTTCCTTACTAAAAACACATCCTACATACTTTGCATACAGTGTTCTTTTCTGTCACTATTTCTCTTAGTAGTCTCATTAGCATAAAATTCTAATTTAAAATTATAGTACCTACTATTTTCAGAGAAAACTATGAGGTGAATAATTGTGCACTGTCTGTGATATGCCTAAAGTAGACTGGCAGAGCTTATGAATATAGATCTTACAACTTTTTATAGCCATATACTTTGTGATAGTACAACTTCTTAATGTAGCAAAAATGAGTATGTTCATGAAATAGACTCAGATATATAAAGCTTTTGGTACCATAAAAATAAGAGGCAAAAAAAAACAAAACACAACCAACTGTATAAAATAGGGATGCTTCTATATTTCACTGTTCTCTCTTACTTTGAAGTGACATAGGTATTTAATGAATATCCATGAATCACCTTAGCATAAGTGTAAAGTTTTAAGTTATTAAAAGATTTTGGAAGCTATCTTCAAGTTTGCTTATTATAAAACATAATAACTGTTGAAATAAAGTTTGTCAGAATAATAATTAACTTGGCTAGCTACAAATGTAGATGAAATGCTAAGTTTACTCTATCAAAAATTTGTAAAAGTTTAGGAAAAACATATTCAAGTAGAATAAAATATATGCTTGTGTTATACTTAATGCTGATAACTCAAAAGACAGCTGTTTTTATTAAACCAGCAATATTTAACTAGTCTTATTTGCCAAAGATTTGTTTAAATGTTAACAAATTCTTAAAACATTTGGGTTAGTTTCTGTAAAAATACCTTTGAAAGTATAAGAAGTTTAATTTCCGAAAATCCTAGGAATATTTAATTTATATGAGGTCCCATTTATCTTCAAGTATATCAGAATAGGACTCATTTAAGGGATTTTGTAATCTAAAATTATAATTGGTAATACTGTCTGGAGGTAGGGAAATATTTTATATACATAGCATACGTACACATAACATGAAGACATATAGACACAGGTAGAGAGCTTATAACTTCAGTTTGAAATTTACAACTCACTGGTGATATAAAAGAGCTAGTTCTTGACCTTTCTTTACCTTTACATTTTTTTAAAAGCATAATTGTGTTTCCTGCTAAGTCAATATGAGGGCTGAAGTGTCCTCAACAATATTTGTGGAGGAGACCTTTAAGATTTTTTTTGCTCTAATGTGTAGTCTTATGAAAGTTGTGGACTAAATGTTGGGTGAGGGAATGAAGAGAGACCAAGGGCTGTCTGGGTGTTTCTAAAGCTCATCTGAATGGTTAACAGATTCAGCCTGGTTATTTCAACAGAAAACGTTTAGAAAGGCGACTAGTGAAAGTTTGGTAGGAAGTTACTAAAGGAAAATAGGATTCTTACATACCCATGTAGGGACTGATAAATCAGTGTGATGTTTGAAAGCCTGAAATGAGGTAAAAGTGAATCTGTGAGGTCCCTGGCCGGTGTGGCTCCGTTGAGCATTGCCCCATGCACTGAAAGGTTGTAGGTTCAATTCCCAGTGGGGATACATGCCTGGGTGGCTGGCTCAATCCCCAAAAGTGGGCATGCAGAAGGCAGCCAATGAATGTTTCTTAAATCAATAAAACCATTTAAAAAATAGTGAATATGTGAGGGTAATTTATTAATTTGCTAATAGCAGCAGTAAATACACTGATAAGGAAAGGACTCTTAGTCATTTTTTGAAAAAGCTCTCTGCCCATTTGTTTTTGACTAAGAACGTTGGATTTAAGCTTAGAAGAGAAGTTCAGGTTTGTTGTACTTACAGATGAAATTAGTGGTCATCATAACTCCATTTGGCAGACATAGTCCATAAATTGGCTTACTTAGCACTTTTTTGAGCATTTTAATTTTTTGAAATTAATTTCTTAAAAGAGGGAGTGTTTGCTTTTAAATGGTATGTGGTCTTGGCTTTGGGTGACGTATTTTAAACCTTTAGTAAGTAATTGTGAGAGAAGATCATGTGGATTAGTGCATCATAACTGGTCTTATTTTTGCTGCCTCACTTGTGTTCTTGACCTCAGCCTGTTCTGTACAACCACTTGTTTATTTAAATTTTAATGAATTAAGATTAAATAAAATTAATTTCTTTGTCACACTAGCCACATTTTAAGTGCTCCATAGTCACATGTGGCTGGTGGCTACTGTATTGCATAGTGGAGAGAACACTTACGTCATTACAGAAAGTCTGTTGGGTAGTGGTGCTCTAGATCGTTACTGTTGATACCAGGAAAGTAAATGTCTGAAGCTTGGAACAGATCCTTTAAAAAACCCCAAATATAACATTTGTACTACTTCAGTCCTAATAGTAGCTTCAGCTTTCTCAAAGTACTATTTAGGATAGATGTTATGTTTAGTTTTGATATTAGGTCATTCTAATATTAATATAAGAGAATAAAATAATTGTATTAAGAACTCTCTCTGCCCGACTATTTATATAACAGTTTTATTATAGCATAATTGCTCTGCAATAAATTGCACATATGTAAAGTATAAAATTAAATAAGTTTTGACATGTATACATCTCTGGAACCATCATCATAGGCAATATAATGTAGCCGTCACCCACAAAAGTTTTCTCATGCCCCTTTATAGTCCCTGCTTCCCATTCTTTTTTACTTTCTCCTCCCACCTCCAGACAACTACTGATCTGCTTTCTGTTAAAACAATTTGAATTTTCTAACATTTTATATAAATGGAGTTATGCAATATATACTCTTTTTTGTCTGACTTCTTTCACCATACATTTTGAGATTCACCCATATTAGTTGTACAAATAGTTCATTACTTTTTATTGTATGAATATATCACAATTTATTAATCCATTAGTTTGTTGATATTTTGGTTGATTCCAGTTTGGGTTATTACAAATAAACTGCTATGAACATTTATGTACAGGTCTTGGTATTGACATATGCTTTTATTTCTATTGAGTGTGATATGGCTGGATCATACTGTAGGTTGTATGTTTAATCTTTTTTTAAAAATTAAATATTTTTATTGATTTCCGAGAAGAAGGGAGAGGGAGAGAGAGATAGAAATATCAATAGTGAGAGAGAATCATTGATTAGCTGCCTCCTGCACGCCCACACTGGGGATCGAGCCCACTACCTGGGCATGTTCCCTGACTGGGAATAGAACCATGACTTCCTTATTTATAGGCCGACGCTCAACCACTGAGCCATGCCAGCTGGGCGAACCAGCAACCTTTTGATGCACGGGATGACGCCCAACCAACTGAGCCACACTGGTCATGGCTTTATCTTTAATCTTTTAAGAAACTGCCAAACTGTTTTCCAAGATAGCTGTACATTTTACACCCCCCCCCCCTTCAGCCCCCTCCAGTAGAGTATGAACATTCTGCTGACTCCATATCTTTGCCAGTTCTTGGTAGGGTCAAACTGTTTAATTTTATCTGACAGACTATTTTAATAAGAAAAGATTGTCCTGGTAGAATTGATTTCCTCTCTTATAACTTTTTATATCTAAAATGCTATAAAGTGCCTGCTGGTGTGGCTCAGTGGTTGAGCGTTGACCTTTGAACCAGGAGGTCATAGTTTGATTCCCGGTCAGGGCACATGCCCAGGTTGCGGGCTTGATCCCCAATGTGGGGCGTGTAGGAAGTAGCTGATCAATGATTCTCTCATCATTTATGTTTCTATCTCTCTCTCTCTCTCCCCCTTCCTCTCGGAAATCAATAAACATATATTTAAAAAATATAAATAAGATGCTGTGAAAATATTTTAAGATTGCTTCTATTTATTTACTATTTTTTTTGATAGTATTTATTCACTGATGCTGATTTGAAATTCAGTTTGTAAGAACAATACATTTCCTTCCATTTACTTACATCTTTTTTTTGTTTTGTTCTAGCGGCCCCTTTGTTACTTTATGCAAACAGACGGGACTTACGATTGGTTGATGCTACAAATGGCAAAGAGAATGCTACAATTGTAGTTGGAGGCTTGGAAGATGCAGCTGCGGTGGACTTTGTGTTTGGTCATGGCTTGATATACTGGAGTGATGTCAGCGAAGAAGCCATTAAACGAACAGAGTTTAACAAAACTGAGAGTGTACAGAATGTTGTTGTTTCTGGATTATTATCTCCTGATGGGCTGGCATGCGATTGGCTTGGAGAAAAATTATACTGGACAGATTCTGAAACTAATCGGATTGAAGTTTCTAATCTAGATGGATCTTTACGGAAAGTTTTATTTTGGCAAGAGTTGGATCAACCTAGAGCTATTGCCTTAGATCCTTCAAGCGGGTAAGTTTTGTGTAATGTACAACGGATATTGCATCTCCTCCTGATTTCTCTCCACTAGCATAGACCCCTCTCACCCCCAAGAGAAAATAGAGCAAAACCAAATGTTAAATTTTTTGGGCTTCTTTGTCAAGTACACTTGAATGTGGGAATTTATGTTGGGTTTTTATAGTAAGGTGTTTCTGTAAGTTTTGTGTTTCTCATGTTGCAAATTTATAGTTTTGGTTTTTCTTCTCCATTTATTTTTTTGTAATTATGAGAGGATAATTAGAAGGCAGAGAAGAAGGAATGAAGACTTAACAAAAGTGATAGCTCAAGATGATAGAAACATCTGCATCTTGTAATTTTTTATATACATAGTTATTTTGTAATACTACTATCTTTTATATAAAACTCTAAAGTATTATTTAATGTCAGTATTGAATGAAAAATAAAAATTAAGTTGTTAAATAATTCATTTCCAGTTAGCTAAACATATATTTGCTATAAAGGTTTATTTTAAAATGAAAAGGGAAACTTAAAGCTGTGGGTAAATCCCATTAGAAAATGTAAACTGTGTTCCCACATGCTTCTTTGTTACTGTGCTTCAGTCCTGCCATATACCATTCCTTGATATTTCTCTGTTGAATACATTGCCATACCAGGGTCTGTCATGGCTAAGTATATATAACTATCTCAACATGAACCTGAAGTGAGTTACTAATAATTGATTAAAATTTAAAGATAACCTGTAAATAACTATTTTAATATTTTGATTTCTTTTATTTTCAAGTATGTTAAAATGTTTTAAAACTCATTTATAAAAAGGAGGATATTAATATTATGTAATAAAACGAAACTTAGGGAAGAAAGAAAGGTTTATATGTGCTCCTTTGTCTTGATATCAGGTCTTATTTGGTGACAAAGGTTAAAGAAGGTACCTTGGAACATCAGCTACCTTTGAACATCAGCTACCTTCATGTTGTAGGAAAATGAAAAGATTTGTTTGACTATAAAAGAAAACATGGGCAATAGTGTAGTGACATTTTAGGATAAAGGATTCTGGAAAACACAAATATATTTATATATGCTTTATATATATATACTTTATATAACAAAAATTATATATTTTTTAAAGGGCTGTTAAATTACATGCTAAAGTCAGATGGTCACTTAATAAGGCATCAGAAACTATTTTTGTGACTCTTGTGGTAGGAAAAGAGTTGAGTATCTATCTCATGGAGATGGTTGCAGCTGTTGGATGTGCAGTGAATTGTACTGATTTGACAAATTTGGTTGTTGAGAATTTGCGAGATGTTTTTGAGAAATGGAATCTGTGTTTTGCCAACAAGGTTTGTCTCAGGTAGTGTTGAAATGTTTTTGAGGTTACTGCTTTGTAGAATACACGGGGTTTTTTTGGTGGTCATTGGGGGGTAATATTTTGATGAAAAGGTAAATATTTCTTTTTCTTTTTGATTTATATATACTTTATATAACAAAAATTATATATTTTTTAAAGGGCTGTTAAATTACATGCTAAAGTCAGATGGTCACTTAATAAGGCATCAGAAACTATTTTTGTGACTCTTGTGGTAGGAAAAGAGTTGAGTATCTATCTCATGGAGATGGTTGCAGCTGTTGGATGTGCAGTGAATTGTACTGATTTGACAAATTTGGTTGTTGAGAATTTGCGAGATGTTTTTGAGAAATGGAATCTGTGTTTTGCCAACAAGGTTTGTCTCAGGTAGTGTTGAAATGTTTTTGAGGTTACTGCTTTGTAGAATACACGGGGTTTTTTTGGTGGTCATTGGGGGGTAATATTTTGATGAAAAGGTAAATATTTCTTTTTCTTTTTGACACACTCAATCTTATAACTGTGAGAGTGATGTTGGAAATTCACCCAAATATCTATTAAATGTTTAGTATGTTTAGAGCGCTGCTTTTTTGTACTCTTGTTGGAGAGAGAGGGATAATACCTTTAAGGGTTTACTATCTATTTAAGGACAGAAAACTTGGGAGAGAAAGAACTTTCCCTTCTTCAAAATATGTTTGTCTGCATTATGTAGTATGTATATGTAGAAGGGAAGAGTTTTAAAGGAATTAGAGGAGCCATAGAACTCTTAAGGAAGATGGCTGGATAAAATATCTTGATTATCACAACTCTGGAGCAGCATTTGATAATTACTATATGTGATAATGATTATGTGATAGTACATATTCACGGTGCTGAATTTATAGACAACTTTTGACTATTCAGGTTCTAATAATTTAATTAGTAAATTAATCATTATCATTTTATTCCCTAATGAGCTCTACTTCTGGATGGCAGGTCTTATAAATGTTTTAGCTGATGTCTCAGGAGGCAGCTGATCAATGATTCTCTCTCATTGATATTTCTATCTTTGTCTCTACCTCTCCATTCCTCTGTGAAATCAATAAAAAATATGTTAAAAATTATATTTCAAACTCATGCATTTTAAAATATATTTTATCAAGCAGTTTTTCATGTTGATTTAGATTTGTGTTAAGGATTGTGGTTTTAATGGAAAAGTAATTTTAGATTGAGTACATCACTTATTAAACAGAAGAAATGATTTCCAGATTTATTTTTTTGGAAACATCAAGTTTTCTTTCCAGAGAAAGTACATGAAAACAGTGCTGAGGAAAAATGTAGGCTTTATTAGAGTTCCAGGATCTGGGTTATGAGGTTCAGAAGAGCTGACTGAGCTTTCTCACATCAGCTTATGTAAAAGGAAGGCTATTGAATGACTAGTATTGTTTGAGCCCTGGGAACTAGTGCAGACATCTGTGTGCTTTCGGATGTATGGAGTTCTTTGTATAATCAGCCCATTTAGCCTAGACTGAAAGATGATTTTTATTTCTCTCCCTAAATTTGGGCTCTATTAGTCTGAGATTTTTTTCCCTTTTTTGACTGGCAGTGTACAATTCAGAATAAGGGACAGGAAAATGTGTATAGAAATTGGTACAGAAATGAACAACCATAGTTACAGAAAGCTGTATCCTTACTTTATTCCTGACATTATGGCTGCTCCTAATGATAGAGTTCCTTAATCTGTTCCACAATGACTGTACTAATCTTTGTGATGTTGAGGAACTGCTGTTTCATGTACAAATAAAGCAGTCCCAAGGGTTTTTTGTTTTGTAAGGATCTGTTCATATTCCAGATCATTTTGGATATTTTTTAAAGAGTTAAATTTTAGTGATTCAGTCAGAAGTGAATTCCTACTGAACAGCTTTGACTAATATACAGTTGACCCTTGCACAATGCAGGGGATTAGGCCCAACTCCCACCCCCATGCAGTCAAATATGCACATACAACTTTGGACTCCCCAAAAACCTAACTACTGATAGGCCTTTGTTGGTGGGAAGCCTTACTGATAACATTAACAGTCAATTAACACATTTTATATTTCTGTATTACAATAAAGTAAGCCAGAGAAAAGAAAATGTTATTAATAAGATCATAAGGAAAATATATTTATAGTATTTATTGAGAAAAATCCTTATGTAAGTGGACCCATACAGTTCAGACTCATATTATTCAAGGGTCAACTGTATATTTTAAAAATACATTTTTAGCCCTAGCTAGTTTGGTTCAATGGATAGAGCGTCGGCCTGTAGACTGAAGGGTCCCGAGTTCGATTCCGGTAAAGGGCACATGCCTGGGTTGTGGGCTTGATCCCCAGTAGGGGGCGTGCAGGAGGCAACTCAATGATTCTCTCTCATCATTGATGTTTCTATCTCTCCCTCTCCCTTCCTCTCTGAAATCAGTAAAAATATATTAAAAAATACATTTTTATCGTTGCTAAGAATAATATTAAGAACACTAGAAGTTCTACTTTAAAAATCCTTGTAGACCTAACTTAAAGGAAAATTAATGGTTTATAATTTCCATCAATTGTATACATATAATTGTCATATCTTGATTATTTTCTACTCTAGTATATCCCAGATGACTAAAATAGTTCCTGCCACATAGTAGGTATTCAATAAATATTTTTTTGAGGGTGTGGACTTTACATTTTCTTTTATAATACTATTAGTTTTAATTGTTAGGGGAGAAAGCATTTTCTAAGCAAATGTAAATGTTAGCATGAGTACTTATGATTTCTGAATCAGTATGGCTTTGATTACAGTCGTTTATTTAAAAACAATTAAAAGTTTTACTTTTTCAACAGAAGTTATTAAGATCACATTTTGTAAAAATATACTCACTGACGCTTGTTTTATGTCACATACAGTTCTGTTTTCAAAGATGTGCTGGTAATTGGGGAACCCTATTTTCTAACCATAAAATCTAGAACTGGTTCGGAATATTACAGATCTTCTAGCTAAATGCCTTCACTTTTTGGCTGAAGAAACCAAGGCCTTTGGCCAAAATTAGATAAGAGAAAGCCAGATTCTTAGTTGAGATTTTCTGATTCCATGTGTGGTGCTTTCTTCTTCATGAAAAATGTATCTTGCTGAAGCTATGTTTTTTTGTTGTCATTGTTTTTTCAAATGAATTATTTTAAAGATGCAACATTGTAGCTTATTTAAAGGAGGATTTTATAAATTCTGTGTTTTTAGATTTATTCACTGTACCAATTTCTTACTTTGCCATTACTTTTTGCACTTAATCCATCTGGGTTCAGCTTCCTTCTGCTTGAAGTATATTTTTTAATATTTCAGCAAATAATGGTAAACCCATGGTCTTCATCTGAAAAATGTATATATTTTGCCTTCATTCTTGAAATGATAATTGATTATAGAATTATAAGTGACATTTTTCTAAGTTCTTTGAAGATATTATTACTTTAATTGTTGTTTTAATAAGCCTACTATTTTCTAATTGTTGCTTTGTAAGGTGCCCCCCCCCTCCCCCGCCGCTTATTTAAAAGCAGCCCTTAACTTTTTATATTTTTCAGCTTTGCCTACCCTGTGTCTAGATGTGGCTATATTTTTTTTTATCTTGCGTATAACCTATGTTTCTAGAAGTCTAATAATTATTGTTACTTAATTC